CCAGTTGCCTAAAGAATTTGCTGGCCACTGCTTTAGGTAAGGAAAATATAGTTTGGAAGACGGAGTCTAGAGTTTTAAATTGTGCTGATAACATACCTTCATATCTCTTTTTCCCTTGAAAATAAAAAGAAAATTTAATATAAAATAATAAAATTTAAATGAAGAAACTAAGGCTGCGTTTGGAAATTCCTAAAAAATTGGGCCAGGACTGGTTTTTCTTTAGCCAGGCCTAGTCCTTTGGGGGATTGTTCCAAAAAGGCTGGTTCAAGGGCCAGAATCGAACTTTGATTGCATCCACTGAAACTGATTTTGTGAAGTTGCCAAACATAGTCAATGAATAGGAGAGGGAATTAAAGGGAGCTAACTCCTTCAGTAGGATGCCAACTTTATCCATTTTATATTTTTGTAGCATTATCCCGTTCTACCAGTAGGTGGCGGCAAGATGTATATTGCACAGTATGAATAGGAAAACAGTAAGATCAAATGAAGAAATTAAAAACAAAATTTTACAGGATAAAATGAGTTTTTGAAGAAAAAGGACAAAAGATTCAAATTATAAGATGGAACTCTATCTCTTCAAGCAAAATAGAACGCAAACAGCAAGAAAGATCATATAGGGAAAATAAAAGGAAGATTTTAGAATAGAAAATGAGTTTAACAGGATAAAGGTAAGAACTAATCCTGCAAACTATACAGATGTAGCCTTGTCTCTTCAAGCAATAAGACTGCACCCTACTACACCTTCCGTCTAGTATAGAGAGTCTAATGCAAGGAATTCTCATAATTGCATCCAGGAAACCAGTTTAGAGGGGTGAAAGAATAAAAAGGGATATGTGGATGAAATTTTTTGAAAATTGAAAGAGACTATATAGTTCTTATCTATGCCCTTGTAAAAAATCCATGACATGAGTGTGAAATCCTATTGGGTACTTAAGAGGCTCCAAGAAGGTGTGCAAAGATTGCTTTTTACTGTTCATGTTCCTGTCTCCTCACTTTTCGCAGAAATTTTTTCATTGCTAATTTTTAGGTACGAATATTCTAGTGCTATGTTACTCTATTTTGTCAAAATAATCTACATAGCAGAGAGGACTGTAAGGAAGTCAAATAAGCACAATGTAACTGATGCTATTCATGTGAATGTGATCCTCAATGAATATTCTAATGTCGGTCATTGCTTTAGAGAGAAAATTTAGTAGTAGCTGTCATAATGATCATATGGTAAGTGAGGAAAGCAGGTATTCAAACATACTCTCAAACAAGTTAGTAAAAGTCCTAAGCTAGCCTAGGTCTAGAAAAATTACCACAATCAAAAGGATCACCAGAACACACTCATATGATCTTGCAATCTCAATTATAGAAGTAAAAAAACTTGAAACCAAATAAAATGCAAAATCAATATGTGACAGTTGGCATAAGGATAATACGGATTTCTTAAGCTGCTTTTACCAACAAATACATTATTTCACAGAAGCAACCAAAGATAACATCAATGCTTACCCACAGTTATAGACAACATTATGGACCAGATTGATGCCACTCCTCTGGTCTATGATAGGACGAAAACACTCGTCCATAACCGCAAAAGCGACAACAATCTTAGAGTTGCATTCTGTTTTCTGAGGCAGATTGCAAGGATATCTGGATGAATCCTCACCGAGACAACGGATGAGGCGCCATGATAAACCCGCTTCCAAGTCATTCTTTTTTCCAAGAAGCTTATGCAGTTGCCAAAGTATCTGAGATGAGAAAAGGAAAGTAATGAGAAGTGTATCGAAAAATTGACCAGTTTCTATATAGTTAGATTAGAATTAGAATCGTAAGTTTTATTATTATAAATTTCAAATTCTGTCCGAATGAAGTTAACAATTTCAAGATCTGAACCACTATGATTTTTTTCAGTAGAGTGTTACTCTGAATACATTTGATGCATGCCAATGAAAGCACTGATAAGAAATGAAGCATCAGTACAAAATTTGCTCATAGTTTTCAATACAATTGTTTAAACTAGATGCAGCCAAATAAAAGAATACTGCCAAGACATCGAACGGAGCAATCCAAAAATGCAAACATGTTAAATAGAATAATGATGACTTTTAGGAATATATTATTGACTCACCATTCCTCATCCAAATTAGACAAAACAACCTGCTTGACATAGAAAATCCTGCTTCGACTAACATAGAAAATAACTAACAGGCTTGCTAAGTTGTATTCCCTGTCATTAAATAATATTCACAGATAAATATCATTATTTTGTATCAATCAGTATGTTTATACGACGTTCATGTTGCAATCAGAATGCAAGCCACTGTTTAAAACTATTTGCAAAACCAACATGAATGCTCCTGAATGAAAAGTGTAGACTGTAATATTTGTTTGAAAAGGAGAACTGTAACCTTAAACCCAGTTTACAGGAAAAGAAATGGACTTCAAATGAACCAAGCGCCCAATAAGATTATCTACTTGGTTCTATGCATGAAATTTCCAAACTACAGTTAGATAATCCTGAACAAGGACCCACAGATCTATGGGCTGTGTAAAAAGGTAATTAAAAGAAACAACCTAACGTGACCATGTCAAATATATTTATAGCATTCGAATAAACTGCAAGGTACAAAAGCAGAAAAAAGAGAGTAAATGCCAATAAAAACCGATAACTGTAAGCATTACCTTTCTGCAAGTCTTCCCGCAAAATGAAGTGTCTGAATCATTTGAATGAACAGAAACAAAATCTTCTTCAGGGATACACTCACGGTGATCTACAAAATTTTACAAACAGCAAAATATAAACAAGATCTGATAAGGTGCCAGGTAGATATAGTGAATAAAGAAAACGAAGGATGATCTCCAGAATTTTATCACAAGGGCATACATTTTCTCTCACACTGAGAACACGTCAGTAACATATAAGCATCTGAACCATCTTCTTTTGAAACAGCACCAGAAACTAACCCACAATATCGACATGTACAGTTAGCACAGTGCCAAACACCAGGAGGAAGCATCTGGAGAAAAGAGGACACAAAGGATGTTGATGTCAATTGCATAATATGAAGCCCAACTGGAAAGGAATATTCAGAAACCAATTGGCTTTAAAGAAATAGCAGAAAAGGAAAAGTAAACCAATTTTTATTGATGTCCCCTCCTTCACGCCAACGCCGCCCCCCCCCCGCCCCCAAAAAAAAAAAAAAAAACCCGCCACCCCCCGAGCGCCAGCAAAATAAAGATTTATAAAAATATGAAATAGAAAAGAAAAGGGTTGCTTGGTTCACTGCAACTGTAATTGCATGCAAGTAGTACATTACAGGATGGTTGCAAGTGTTTGTTTTCCTGCAATAACTCCAGTCACAACTGCAATGGCAAAAGAGGTTTAGTTGCAGATGACGACCTGCGCATATTTGCCCTACATCATGCTTGAGACCATTTTGAGTTATATTAGAGGGTTTAAACTGCAACTTTAATTTTAACCAACTCCCAACCTAACTCCAAAACAAACAGATCCAATCAACAGCCCAAATCATTTTTTTCTTCCTACCCTCTAAACTACAAAGTAAAC